CCTCATGTTTGTCATCTCTGGTGTTGCTACTGATGATCGAGCTGTTAGTACTCCTATTTCACTAACATTCTTAATTTATATTCACTGATAGTTTAAAGTATTTTTACGCTATCAGTATATTTAATCAATAACACATTTTATTTTACTGAAAATGTTGATTGCAGAGTGTAATGTAATCTAGTATATCTTACAATATGGCTTTGTTGCAGATGAAACATTTATCTGGGGTTGCAATTGGAGCCACTGTTTCACTTGATATATTGTTCTCCGGGTACTGCTCTTTTCACTGCAATTTCAAGTTCTCATTTGTTGTTCTTAGTTTGTCCCAAATTAATGTCTATTTTCTAAATGAAATTAATATTTCTTTTTTCCTTATCTTCTGACTATGCTTCCTTAGACCCCACTTGTGATATTATACTGGGTTTGTTGTTCTTCTTCTTCTGACTATGCTGAGACTTTGCTTTTTCCAAACCGAGGATCTATTGGAAACAGCCTCTCTACCTTCACAAGGTAGGGGTAAGGCTGCGTACATACTATCCTCCCTAGACCCCACTTGTGAGATTAACTAGGTCTGTTGTTGTTCCTTTTCTTCTTCTAGACTTGGTAAGAGTATGCAACAAGATGATATTCATTTAATTTGTTTCAACTAAAGCTGGTTGAGTCTTATTAAAGATTAAAAAATAACAAAAATTAGAGAGGGAAATTGCTATGAAACATATGCTTTTATCTAAAGGATAAATATATTTTGTTGACACACAGGCCACTAACAGGGGAATCAATGAACCCTGCAAGGAGTTTGGGACCGGCATTTGTTACAGGTCATTACAAAGGATTATGGATTTACATTATAGGGCCAATTTTAGGGGCAATATTTGGTGCTTGGACTTACAATCTTATGAAACTCACAAATAATCATGGTATGAAAAATAAAACTATTTACTTTTGAAAAAGAATAGTATTTGATTTGCTAATCTTTTGATTTTTCTTATGACGGGGTGAAGCTGTAAAAGAGATTTGAGATTCACAAAAAATTATAGAAGTGTCCTCAAAAGATAAGGTTATATGCAAGTGTAGTGAAGGGTGGACATGCATTGTAACCAAGGCAGAAGAACCAGAAGCAGGCAACATCTTTTTTGATTGTGGTGACGAAGGTTGTGTTAGTTGCTATCTTCTTATTTGATGTATTTGTAAATAATAATTCTGGAGAAAAGAAAGTTAGCGTATAAACGTAAATATAAACGAAACAGTAATTAATTCGAGCCCGCTGAATTCACAGTATTTTCTTGAGGAATTTAATCCCCTCCTAGTACCCAAGGTTATGGATTATTTCCTCCCAGGATAGAACGAATTACACACTGGTGTAGTGGTACTTCAAACTCCAGTGTTTCAGCGAACACAAAGTTTGGCAGCAAATCACACTTACTGTTGCTTTGTTTGATGCTAAAAGTATGCACAAGAAGGAGTAACTCAGAAAATCGTAGTGAAATTCTGAGCAGAATAGTGTTGTATTTATAGCCAAAGTTGGGCTGAAATTTGAAGAGGTGCAACTCTTCAGAATGGCTGTTTCTGCAAAACGGCCACATCATAAATGCCATTACATAAATGGCTATTTACTCAACAATAAAGAGGGAAAATAAAGAGGAAAAATTGAAGAGGGTAGTTAATTTTTTGTTACCAAAATAGAAAAACGGATTGGATTTAATATTAATATTCTGTTATTAAAATAAATATTTAATAATATTTCTATTAATATTTTACTATTAACAAATAAATTTGGTCTAAAAAGTTAATCAATTAATCGTTTGACCAAAAGTTAATCCATTTTTCATATGGAATGGATTGTGTTATGCTATGGGGTACTCGATTTAGTATTCGGCTAGCCGTAAGAACGACTTCCCCTCACAAGTTCTGTGGCAAACCAGAACTTATCAATAATGCGTTCATCATCTCCTTTAATGAATGATTCTTTCTTTCTGCAATCCCATTGGATTGGGGCGTGGAAGGGGCCGTTGTTTGATGAATAATTCCATATTCTAAATATATTTGCTCAAAAGGGAATTCATATTCACCACCCCTATCACTTCTTAGCATTTTGATTTTCTTGTTAAGTTGCGTTTCAACTTCATTTTTGTATTGATTGAATGTGTCTATTGCTTCATCTTTACTATTAAGGAAGTAAACATAGCAATATCGAGTACTATCGTCAATAAAAGTAATGAAATACTTCTTTCCACCACGAGATGGTATTGACTTCATGTCACAAATATCTGTGTGAATTAAGTCTAAAGGATTTGAATTCCTTTCAACTGACTTATAAGGATGTTTAACATACTTAGATTTCACACATACTTGACATTTTGATTTGTTACATTTAAACTTAGGCAATACTTCCAAATTAATTATTTTCCGCAAGGTTTATAATTAACATGACCCAAACGTATATGCCATAATTTATTTGACTCAAGTAAGACGAAGCTGAAATTTTATTATTATTTTCAACAACCATTACATTCAGCTTGAAAAGGCCCTCAGTGAGGTAACTTTTTCCTACAAATATTTTATTCTTACTTATTTATTACAACCTTATCGGAAACAAAAACACATTTAAAATCATTCTTAACAAGAAGTCCAGTAGAAACTAAATTCTTCCTAATCTCGGGAACATGAAGGACATTGTTCAAAATCACTACTTTGCCGGAAGTCATTTTGAGAAATATCTTCCCACATCCTTCAATCTTGGCCTTTGCAATATTTCCCATAGAAATCGTCTCATCGGGTCCAACAGGAGCATAAGTAGCAAAAGCTTCTTTAATAGCACAAACATGGCGAGTGGCTCCAGAATCAATCCACCACTCTTTAGGATTGCCCACCAAGTTGCATTCGAAAAGCATGACACATGAGTCATCAACATCATCATGCTTTTCAACCATGTTTGCTTGACCCTTCTTCTTGTCTTTTTTCGGAGCACGACACTCCATAGAATTGTGTCCGTTTTTTCCACAGTTGTAGCAGTTTCCACTGAACCGCTTCTTGCTTGGGTTATATTTCGGTCCAGAAGCCTTCTTCCTTTTTTTGTTCTCTTCAATAATATTTGCTCTCATTATTGTTGAGTTTCCACGGCCTCTTTTTTCAGCAGCTTTGTTGTCCTCTTCGATTCTCAACCGAACAATGAGATCTTCAAGGGACATCTCCTTGCGTTTGTGTTTCAAGTAGTTTTTGAAGTCCTTCCACAAAGGAGGCAACTTCTCAATCATCGCTGCTACTTGGAATGCTTCATTGACGACAAGACCTTCAATGAAATTTTTGTTAGTAAAAATACTAAGATTACTACTTTCAACATCAATATTAATTTGATTTATACCTACAACAAGGAGATCGTGAATGGATTACTTGCAATTCCTGGACTTGGGTAATAACAGACTTGCTATCTACCATTTTGTAGTCCAAAAAGTTTGCAGCAACAAATTTTTTCAACCCGGCATCTTCGGTTTTGTATTTCTTTTCAAGCGCAATCCACAGTTCTTTTGACGTTTCTACGCCACTGTAGACATTGTACAAAGCATCCTCCGGCCCGCTTAGAATATAATTCTTGCACAAATGCTTCCACGCCTCAATCACGAGAAAGCGTTCAGTTTCTGGAGTTTCATCGTACAACACAGGAACATCATCCTTGATGAACTTCTGGAGACTTGGAGTAGTCAAATAGAAGAACATCTTTTGCTGCCAGCACTTGAAATCAATCTCAGAAAATTTTTCGGGTTTCTCCGCCGGTGCCAATGCTGCCGGTGTTGTTCGGCTCGTTGAGGCATTGGCATCGTAACAACTTGGTTTCCATTATCATTAGTCATTTCTGTAAAAGAATGACACAAACGTTAAAATCACGTAGATTTTAATCTCCAATAGAGTACAAAACCACAAAGGTTTTACTCTCCAGAAACAATGAGTACACATACAAAAAATAGTTAAATTCCTTAAGCTTGTTAGTTGATATCTTCTTACTTGCTGTATTTGTAAATAATAATTCTGGAGAAAAGAAAGTTAGCGTATAAACGTAAATATAAACGAAACAGTAATTAATTCGAGCCCACTGAATTCACAGTATTTCTTTAAAGAATTAATCCCCTCCTAGTACCCAAGGTTATGGATTATTTCCTCCCAGGATAGAACGAATTACACACTGGTGTAGTGGTACTTCAAACCCTAGTGTTTCAGTGAACACAAAGTTCGGCAGCAAATCACACTTACGGTTGCTTTCTTTGATGCTAAAAGTATGCAGAAGAAGGAGGAGAAACTCAGAAAATCGTTGTGAAATTCTGAGCAGAATAGTGTTGTATTTATAGGCAAAGTTGGGCTAAAATCTGAAGAGGTGTAACTCTTCAAAATGACTGTTTCTTCAAAACGGCCACAACATAAATGCCATTACATAAATGGCTATTTACTCAACAATAAAGAGGGAAAATAAAGAGGGAAAATTGAAGAGGGTAGTTAATTTTCTGTTACCAAAATAGAAAAACGGATTGGATTTAATATTAATATTCTATTATTAAAATAAATATTCAAAAACATTTCTGTTAATATTTTACTATTAACAAATAAATTTTATCCAGAAAGTTAATCAATCAATCAATCGTTTGACCAAATCCAAATCTGAAGCCGAGCTGAGCGAGCGACGACGGCGGCAGTGCGAGGCTTGCCTTCTTCTCAACACTTTAAGAGCTAGAAGAAGAGCAATTGCTTATATACCCATAAAAACCCTCTTCCTCTTCCAATATGGGACAATATCCATTTACCAAGGGGGAAAACTTAAAATTTCACTCAAAAATTTCATTTCCCTCCATTTTTCATTCACCATCTTTTAAGTATTTAATATACTAGATTTAGTGTACGTGCGCTGCACGTGTATTATGCGTTATGCACAAAAGAGCGTATTTTAATCAGGTAGAATAAGAATGAATTACGTATAAAGGTAACTGATGATGTAACAAATATTTAAATGGTAAACTGTCTAAAATAGTGCATATTTAATTGAATAAGAATGAATTAAGTATAATAGCAATTGACGATGCAAAAAAATTATTACATTAAAGAAATAGTTGTATTCAACGTGTAGACACTAAATTGAGTGGTACAACGAAGCTTGGATGTTGTAATGTATATTATCAAAAAATTAATAAGGCGAACAGAAATAAAATATTATTTATATATTTAGTGAAAGATTACTGGATGAAATCTAAATAACTTACCAAAATTTATTCGATTGGTGCACTTTGATGCCTCATCGAATGAAATAAAATTATTTGAAAAACCAATGGCCAACAAGTGAGTATTGCTTTCTTCAACTAAAGTTTTCACCTTAAATCCAATCTCAAGCTCCTTGTGTGATGATTGGAAATTAGGATTGGCACTATTGATGTGTCCGTTTATGATGTAACAAATCTTATTTTGTTGTAAATAATTTTCCCACTTCTCAATATAACCATTGAAAAGTATAGCGTGAATTTTTGTTCCCGGTAAAAAGTTTCACTTTAAGCTAATCTGATTGTTAAAACTATAATATGAAAAGACATGAAATAAAATATTGATACAAAATAAAAATTACCTATTCATTAACTAATGTCACAATTTTTCGGGTACCTTGATTTGTTTTATTGTTGAACTCTTTTACTATTCCACTCCCAAACACTAACACTCGTATTACCCAACACGAATCAGATACTCTTAGACTATTAATTGGGAGATACTGGTCTTGACAATTCCTTTTCACTGGCCATTCAAGTGTACCTAAAATAAAGCATGCATAAGAGTTTTATAAGTTATCAAAGTGACTAATTCAATAATTGATTATTTTTATGATATAAGGAAGATTGTTTACCTGAACAGATGTAATTGTTGAAATCTAAGTGATTCAAGCATGTCAATTGCAAATAATGCAAATCATGTAGTATTAATATTACACAGAATTAAAGGAGATAGTCTAATTTTAATTTTTTTTTAAATAAGCAACTTGAGCTGGCATAGCAATAAGTATTATTTATCATATAGCAAAGAAAAAAAAATATTAATTTAAGTAATAAGACTTAGATCAAATGTCTAATCGATTTTTGTGATGAATTGCAATTGTTCGATAATATGTATTAAATTTGTAAATTATGTGAGATGTGAAATTAGCCACGTCCAAAACATGAAACAAAAATTATATAATAACAATTTGTTGATGCAACAATAAAGATAAATTGTTGATGCAA